TTAGGTACTTTCTTGAGTTATGCAGCAGTGCTGGCTCGAGAATTATAGGAATGTGCAAAGAGTAGCATATTGCACCTAAGCACTTACATCAGAGTCAGCATATGTGTTTAAATTGGGAGTACTGTGAAAAATCTCAATCTGGCTATAGTCTCTGTCCTAGAAGAGGAAGGAATGAAAGTTGCAACTTTTATGTGTTTCAACATCACCCAATTCCACGTACTAAGCAGCTTTATGTAGCTCTGTATCCTAAAAGGGTTGCTGAAAATCTAACTGCACAAACTTGAAAAGACATTTTTAAATCTTGCTTCCCGGATGGCCAACTTTCTTTGAGTGTTTTCTGTTTTTAGGAGAAAAAAAGTCATCAAATTGGGTAAAAAATGAATGCAAGTAGTGATTTGGCATGCATGTATCAGTGTACAACTTAACATTTTGTCTAAAGCTAGCCTCCTGAAACCTAAGTATTGAAGCAAGTGAAAACTTACTTACTTGAAAATCCTTTTAAGTGTGGGATGTTGGATTTCTCCAATTTTACCTAAAATCTACAACCTTGTATATAAATTACTGGTTGTCTGTGTTAAGCTGAATGAACAGATTTTGAAATTGAATAATTTCTTGCAGTACTTTGTCACTGAAATACCCTGATAAGAGGACTATAAATGAGGAGTTTAGGGATCTTCAGAGTTAGGATAAGCTTTCAATGTGTTATCTTATGGAAAAAAAGTTATGGATTTTTACTTATCCATCCTTGACCTTGAGCCAGAAATTTTTCATGTAGCTGAAAGATCCTTTCTGTAGTATTGCATGCTGGTTATTTTGGTTCAGGGTTGTGAGTATGACTTGTTCTCCTTTCAGTCTATCCTACTTGCATTACTTGGTGCTAGTGTCTATTGAGTTGTACCTTTCCCCGGGACTAGAAAAAGGACAGTGATGGTGTGCTTTGGTTCATATCTGCCACTTGAATCCATGTGGAGTTACTTTTGCTGACTTGGGATGGTTTCACAATTGCAATTGTGTAGTCAGAGCTGCAAGTTGGCAATAAATGGTTTCAGAAGGTCATCTTTGCTGGGCTGTTTTTAGGTTGAAAAGGCTATCTGTAGAAACTTTTTTTAGTGAATGCTGTAGGATATGGTTCATGTATTCTAATACCAGCAATCGAAGAGACCTAAGGAAAAAGTTTTGGGAACTCTTCTGGTGTCACATAGCCCTTCTTGAGTTGCTCCAGTCAGTACTAGGCATTATTATTCAGCACCTCAGAAGAAAGAACTTGATGCAGAAATTCAAAGATCCTTTAGAAAGAACTTTTTTTGCAATATTTTTGAAATCTGCGTTACTGGACAGTGAGAGTTGCCACTTGGTTTCGTGCTGTTTTGCAGTGATGTTGTTTTGCGATGAGTTAACTGAATTTTTAATAATTGTGTGAAAATAACTTGTGATAAAATACAAATATTGGGGAAGAGAGTAATAAAAAGAAAAAACCTAATGCCAATGGATGTTACAAAAGCAGTATATTTGTGTAATGAGCAACAGATACTTTTCAGTGCATAAGGAGTTAGTCGCAGACAGAGAGGGTTGTGCTGAATGGCTCTGTGTCCAGATGGAGGCTGGCAACAAAAGCTGCCTCCCAGGGTCTGTCTCGGGACTGGTACTCTTTAATGCCTTTATCAGAGATATAGATGATGTGATTGAGTGCTCCTTAGCAAGTTTGATGACACCAAGCTAAGTGGAGGGATGCCATCCAGAGAGACCTTGATTAAAGTCAAAAGGCAGGCCCATGTCTACCTAATGAGGCTAAATTGAGCAAAGTACAAGGTTTTGCCCTAGGGTCGAGGTAATCCCTGATATGTTTGCAAACTGGAAGAACAACTCCTTGAGACAAACCCTGCTGAGAAGAACCTCTGGATTCTGGTTGATGAAAATCTCAACCTGGCTGGAGTACTGCATCCAAGTCTGGGGCTCCCAGCACAGGAAAGATGTAGAGCTTTTGGAGAAGATCCAGAAGAGGGCTGTGAAGATGATCCAAGGGCTGGAGTACATCTCCTGTGAAGACAGGCTGGAGGGACTGAGGTTGCTGAGTCTGGGAAAGAGAAGGCTACAGGGAGACCCTGTTGCGGCCTTCCAACTTTTTGAAGGGAGATTATAAGGAAATCAACTTTTTACAAGTGTAGACAGTGGACAGGACAAGGGAGGGTGATTTTAAACTAAAAGATTGGGCATTTAGATAAGATGTCGGGGGAACTTTTTTTACTACGGGAGTGGTTGCCCAGAAAAACTGTGGATGCCCTGTCGCTAGAGGTGTTTAAGGCCTGGTTGGATGGGGCTTTGGGAATGTGATCTAGAACTTGCTCTAGTGCTTGGCAGCCCTGCCTGTGGCAAGGAGGTTGAAACTTAATTATCCTTGAGGTTCCTTCCAACCCAAGCTGTTCTTCTGGGGGGGAACAAGATTAGGATAGCTGATGTAAATTAACCAAAGGGATATTCCATGTCGCATGACATCATACAGAAGAACTTCTGAAGGGGCTGCTGAACCTCAGTTGCAGGCTGGTGAGCAATTTCTTATTCACCTCTTGTTACATACATTATTTGTATCTATCTGTATATATACACACAGACACAACTTTTATTGTTTTCCTTTTCTTTATCTTAATAGTTTTATTTCAACCCACAAATCATTCTTTTTCCCCCGATTCTCTCCCCCATCCCACTGGGAAGGGTGAAATTGTGTGAGGGTCTGCGTGGTGCTGAGCTGTCTGTTGGGTATGACCACACCAATAAGTCAACTTAATCCTACAGCTTAGGCTGACTAAGACAAGATATTTTGCAAATACATTGAAATAAATGAGTTTGTCATATCCTGATTTATTTATTTTTCCATTCCATGGGTTCAAACTTGGGTACAGCCCAAATATGTTGTATTTCTACTACTACTACCCAGCAGTGCTACCTCTAAAATACCTGAAACATGCAGAGAAAGAAATTAAGATCAGACTGTTAGTTGTCATCCTCACCTCCTTTCTTTGTAATGGCAAGGTTTGATCTAGAGGTATCTGCAGGTGGTGTCTGGATGCAGGGCTAGAGTGCATGCTAAGTTTGAGGACAACACTAAGCTGGAGTACCTGCTGAGCCCCTCAAAGGGAGAGAGACTGTGCAGAGGACTAACCTGGTTTAGCTGGGGTTGGAAGCCTATGGCCTTATGTTTCCATTCTAACTCAAACCATTCTGGGATTCTGTGATTTAATCTTGGCCAGCGGGAAGGCTGAGCAATCAGCAGCCACGTGAGGCTCACTAAAAGCTGATTTGTGCCCATGGGGCAGCCCTGGCTCTATGTCCAGAGGGGGGGGTCAGGAGTGGGACAGCAGCCCCAGGAAAGGCATCAGAGGGATCTGACTGATGGCACATGAGTTGGACTTCAGCCCTATTCTAAAACAAATGTAGTTCAGTGATCCTACAGGAATTCGGGGTTGTTAGAGCTGAAGGCTCATTTCCAGTGGGGAGAAGGAACGGTCACAACAGAAGGGTCATCGAAGGGAAATCTCAGATTAACTTAATCGTAAGTGTTATTACAAGTTGATAGTAATTGTGGGGAAGTTGGAACTTGATGGTCCTTGTTTTTAATCTCTTGAATTTTCGGTATAGCCTGCTTTTTACTAATGATTTTTACATGTAGTAAAACTTGAAGTGCTATACTGTTTGGGTTTCTTTTTTTGGGGAGGGGTGTCTTTCCTCTGAGCGTACAGATATTTTGCCTCAATGAGGTAGCTGTTATTTTACCTTTCAGGTAGAGAAACCTGAACTTCAAGTTATCACAAATCATTATCACAAATCATGAAACTTTGTTAGAGGAGTGTGTGGTGTACCCTTGGGATAGCTGTACCAAGGGTTCATCCTACTTGAATGCATGAGAAGTCGAACATTTAAGATCACAATCTCTTTCATGAGATCACTCTTTTTAGTGGTTTGGTTTTTTTTAATGAGACATATGTCTAGAAGACATATTTGCATGCTCTGAAGTAAGTACAGTAAATCACAATGTGAAATATCTATCCCCCACTATGTTTTAAAATGTACTATGAAATTTCGTAGAGTTTGGTGTTGTTTTTTTGGCTTTTTTTTTTTTTTTTTTTTTTTTTTTTTTTTTTTTTTTTTTTTTTTTTTTTTTTTTTTTTTTTTTTTAGGGCTTTACACCCTTAAGATTGAAGAGTAAGGACAGGTGATGGCTCTTAAATAGTGGGCTGGGAGCTTGCATGGATGTGTGAAGGTTATTTGTGATAGTAAACTTTCAGCAAGTGTTAGCAAAATCATAGCTGGAGGGATTCTCTTAAAGGCTTCAAACAACTTGTGACCTTCCCATAAAAGCTGATGATGGATGATTGAGAGATGTCATTTCTGCTATTATTTATTATATCTGGCATTGAGCTTTGTGGATCTACCTGGACTTTGGTTAGTTTAAAACCTCCAGGATGTGGTGTGCTTTGCTATTTGGGCAGACCAGTTTGCCACTGGTTTAAAGTGGGAACCATAGTGAAGTAGTAAGAATGCTTGCCCTCCTCTAAAAGTCATCAAAAATTGAAAACCAATGTGCAGAAATATGAAATGAAGAGCTTTTATGTGGTTTTCTAGATGCAGCCTTACTTATTTTAATGCTGCGTCTATCAGACAGTTGCATTAAAGTTCTAAGTCTTAAGAACCAGAACTGGAAAAGTTTCACAAATCTTCTGCTGACATGCATGTTCATTTGACCCATGACAGTGAAAAGTGTGATTATGAAAAAGATCATTATGTTATCGTTATGTATGTTACTCATGTATTTTATCACAATTTCTTCTCTTGTCTGTGACTGTTGAATTTATTTTTATCCTGCGATGCTTTTAATTCACATATAGCTCTCTTATTCTTCCATCTACTATATGGTAAGAGAGCAAAGTGCAAAGTAATATTCGTTGACAAAGCACATTGTTTTTGAGGAACATTTGATCTAATTGAGGTCTTATTTTCATTGTTTTAAGGGACTGCAGCATAACTGCAGCTGTTTCAGCTGTTGAGATGTTCTGTCTTTTTTTATTCCTTTGCTACCCAAACTCTTAACTGGCGATCCATACGCAGATAGGGCTTTGTAGCAATAATTGTATTTAGACAGGTGACTCATTTCAGTAACCACGAGCTATTCTGGAACATATGCTGAGGTGTCGGTGTGACTGGTGATACAGAGCTCTCCCTTGGTGATGTCACGTCACAGAGCAGCTCTGTCTAGGCCACTGCCCCACCTCTGTGCCCCCTGCTTGGAAATGAGCACAGTACTGCCATCCTAGCTCCCACACAGTGCGTTCAGATCTTGGGAGACAACTTAGAGCTTCACAAGGAAATATGATGTGTGATCTGCTCAGGTAGGCTGAGTTCATAAGCACAAGGCTACCCAGTTAGTAAAATCTGAAATTGAAGGTAGACCCTGGTATCACCTTTATAAGACTGCTGAAAATTTCTATGGTGCTGAACACAGCTTTAGGCTGATGGCATAAAAACTGTGGCATTGAGTAGAATTATTTTCATAGTATCACAGGATGGCCTGAGTTGAAAAGGACCACAGTGATCATCTAGTTTCAACCTCTGCAGGGTCACCAGCCAGCAGACCAGGCTGCCCAGAGCCACATCCAGCCTGGCCTTGAATGCCTCCAGGGATGGGGCATCCACAACCTCCTTGGGCAACCTGTTCCAGTGCATCACCATCCTCTGTGTGAAAAACTTCCTCATAATATTTAACCTAAACGTCCCCTTTCTCAGTTTAAGACCATTCCCCCTTGTCTTACCATTATCCACCTTCGTAAACAGCTGTTCCCCCTCCTGTTTATATGCTCCCTTCAAGTATTGGAAGGCCACAATGAATTTTCAACATCTGACACTTTTCTATTTGTGTATAAGCCATAATTTAAAAAAAGCTCTCTTAAGCCATTCCTTTTCAGTGTGTGCTAGTTTGATATTTTAATTCCCAAATAATTTAATTCTGCTATAGCAGACTTTTCTGTTCTGATTAGTTCAGGTTACCCTGCTTCGTACAGAAATGTAGTTCTATTTTTGGTAACTATTGTTTTTGAATTTGGGAATTATTGTAGAACCACTAAAATGCTGAAGTTCTTCAGCAGTATACATGAAGAACAAAGGAAGTCGAGTATTATCAAGTCTTTATTAGTGCTTTGCTTCAGCACTTTGAAGATTGGATCTGGACCACGTGTATTTTAGAAGTAGTCGTAGGTATTTGAATTTTCAACGTTGGTGTTTATCAGATGCTAATATTGAGAGAGCAGTTGATTCAGCTCTGCATTGTTTAACTCTGATTTCTGTCTTTTGATTGTTGCTAAGATGCAGGTTGAAGGCTGCAGTTTCCATGCTCATAGCGATGGCCCAGTCGTTATAAGTTAAAAAGCACAATGGTAATGGCAAGTGCAAGAACAGTGGTTAATGGGGCCTTTGTCCCAATTTCCTTGAACCTCAGTCCAATCTGGATTGTAGGGTAGGTGGCTGATCTACATGTACATCAGTCAAGCTTTAATTGAATACGTCAATTGAATACTTTCCTTTTCTTCAAAAAGGGGAGAAGCACAGAAAAGACTGGGCTGAGATTGAGTAAACTAAGCATTTGTTTTGTTCACATTCTTGTGTTTTGAGTTTGTACATTTGAGTGACTTGTATGCTTGGCAGCCGTAGAAGGAAAACTAAAGTGAATCCACATCTCTGGAAATTCTAAGGAAGGCTGGCTGCTGTTTTGCATTTTCTAAACTACTAATGAGACTAGTAAGATGTTTACAACCAAAGAAAAACTTCCATCTTCTTGTTTGCCTAATCTCAATCGCATGTGATTTTCTTGAAGTAGCGCCTTGTTTTGTTCACTGAAACATTTAAATTACCTTGGAGTTAACATGGGTTTGTATACTGCATGTGATTTTCAAGAATGAAATGGAAACACACAAAGCAACTGAACTTGCTTCTAGCTTATCTTGTCGAATTATGTGTTTGGTGGTAAAAATGAGATCTGCGACCTCAATACTTACAAGTGGCACTTCCAGGTAGCTTAGACCTATAAGTTTAGTACATGATAAGACTTCAGTGTTGCTTACATAAAAGAGCAGGTTTATATGTTAGATTTATTTTAAAAAATAAAGTGTTTTTGAGGGTTATTTAATTCTACTAGGTCAGCAATCCCGTTTGCGTAAATTACTAACAGGCGAATAAAGATCTTTTGTCCTTGTTGCAGTAATTACCATTGGAGGATCAGAAAATGGAATTGCCTAGAAACGTGGGAGTCCTGGCTAAAGTTTGCCTTGGATTCACTGGGCTGAAAATCTGTTTAAACCGAATTTAGTCTTTCTTTTTAATGGCCATCTTAATGGAACTAAGTAGCAAGTAAGCTTTTCCCCCTTACCTTAACACTAACAATGTAAATGACCCTGACTGGTCTTCAGAAGACAGGTTCAGTTTAAAATCTGAATCAGAAATATGAAACACTCTCACATGTTTATTTGTGCAGTTACGGTCAATCATTGATTCTGAAATGCATGAATGGACCTTTTGTGTTATTCCTGAAAGAATAATCAGCAGATTATTCTTAGTTTACTGGAAAGGATAGTCAAAGCTATGTGTACCTGTGCTTTTTCTGCTCGTACGTTTATGAATTACACTCTGCAGAGGCCTATAATTTCAGTATTGGTCCCAGACATTAAATGACAGTGCTGAAGTGATGTATAACGTTTGTGACTCTGTTCCCAGCTGAGAATGTTGCTTTCAGGTTGCAGGGCTGCCTGCAGTAATTAACGGTTTTTACGTTGCTAGAATTGGGGGAAATTCTAAACCACCCTTGCATATGTCTTGAGAACTGAAGTATGTGACATGCTCGCTTGCTCTGCCTTTTGTCACTTGCAGGGCTGAGAGGGTAATGGCTACAGAAAGTATAGCTAATAATTGAAGCTCCTGTGTAGAGCTATTAGGGCTCTGAACTAAGTCAGCTGCTGTGGGGGTGCTTACTTCATTTCTGCATTAGCAGGGGTCCTATGGTGCAGTTCTGTACCTTCTGTTCAAAAGTCCAGCATAAGCTATACTACCAAAACATTACTGATGATGTAGGATGTTTCTACCACTGTAAATGCATCAAGTAATTATCCTAAAAAGCTATTTTTGTCTAGTAGAGAATAATCCTAAAGGACCCCAAAGAGTTCTGTGTGGATATGTGGTGCCCCTACAGAGTTTTAAATTAACTGTGAATGCATTGCTATCCGAGAAACGGAGTTACTTCACTAGATCTTTACTCCTTTATCATCTTCAGTGGTGCCCTTCTGAGACTATATAGGAAGTCCTATTTTTGGTTTTGCTTTCTCTATTCCTTTGTACTTTTTTTCTCAAAAAAAAAAAAAAAAAAAAAAAAAGGCAGCAGGAGTTACTTGTAGGGTACACAGGTTGGTCTAGATTCAGCAGTGCAATTGGCTTCCACCCTCCCCAGTCAGTATTACTAGATTCTGTCAAGCGTTATCACCTGTCTGTCTGTAAGAATATCAAAAGGCAAAGTATGCTGACGTGTCGTTAATGCACTTATTCAAACAGTAGTCTGTCTTTAGGGAGAAATATGTTGGAATCTTAGGGCTAAATTCAGTTCAGTTGAGGTCTCTAAGTCAGTTCTCCTTTGACGTGAAGAACAATACCTCCTTAGCTTAATGTAGCCTTCAGATTCAAGAAGACCTGCGTGTTTCACCTTAATCTAAGGATTTAGATGTGCCTCTATTCAATACATGTCAATATTTCATTAATTAGTATTACAGCCCCATATTTCCGGAGATGGAAAAATACAGCTTTTGAGTATGAAACACAGAAGCAACACAGCTGCTTCCTAAGCAGCACGGCTGCAAAACACTCCTGCATATTTCACTGATGTGTTTGAAAAGACTGCTCTCCACCTAAGGCAGTTGTTAGCGGCAGGCTTTACTAAAGATTACCTGAATATTCAACTTCATTGCAGTATGGAAATGGACAAGTGAAAACCCTGTGCTGGTTTGAGTGCTGCAGTGTGAAAAAAATGACCTTAGCTTGAGCGACAAGGTTTTCAGCTGCCGGCAGGAAATGATGAAATGTACTCAGAGAGAATTTTGTTTGTGGAAGTGGAGGTCAGGCAGAGCTGTGCAGGTACTGCAGCTCCCTGTGCTGTTGTGCTGCTCAGCTCCATATTTGGGGAAAAGCAACTGAACTGAGGCATGTCTTTTAAGGTAAGTTTTTTTGCTTACCAGTCAAATAGTTCTTTGCTTTTTCCAACCAGAAATGTACTGTTCTGCTTCATGGCTGATTTGAAGGTGATATTTTGTAAAGCATTTAACATTTGTCAGTGTAAGGGTGTTTGTTTAATCGTGGTTGGAAAGATTGCTTTCAAACAGACTGCTGTCTGAAACATGCACATCTTCTAGCAACGATTATTTTATTCATTTGTATACTTCTGTGGGATTTTCTCTATAAACGCAGCAATGTCCACGTTTTGTGGTAGTTGTGTGGTCAGATAAGAACCATGGCACCTTTTATTTTTAGGTAAAAGATAGAAAGCTCTGATATCTGAGGCAGCTTTTCTTGTAATACTCTTTTTGCTTCTAAATCATATCCTATTTTAGAACAGTTGTAGCCACGTCACTTTTCTCTGTAGCTACTTTGTCAGTGCAGCTGTAAGTGCTCTTCTGCATTTTCTCTGCTGGAGGATGCATCACTGCAATCCTCTTGTTCAATTTCTCTGCACTATTCTTGCTGCTCTGCTGTCAAATTCTGCTTGAATTTGTTTTCTTTCATTGCAGAATGAAGTAAGTATTAGGCACGCCGATTTTAAATACTTTCATTATGACTTTGCTGAAATCAGTTTTCATTCTGAAGAATATTCTTAGCTTGCCATCTGTTTCTACAGAGTAGAGAGGTATTATTTGTTAAGTGTCTGGCCACTTTAAAGGTTTCTTAGGAATTAAATGCTTCCCAAGTGTAATCTGGAAATTAAAGGGATGTGGTCTTCTATACCTTTCTTGCTTCTCGGAAGCAAACCTAAAGGCACATTTATCTTGACTTTTTTTATTTATATGGAGTTAAACAGAAAGGTTTCTTTCATGCTGGAAGACCTTGACAGGACATGTTAATTAATGGATGATGTCACAGGAACTAAAAAGGTGACAATTAGAAGAATTCTATTCAAATTGGATTTTTCCTGCACTTTAATCACTCAGTTTTAAATAATGAAAAACTTTGTTTTAAAATTGTATGTCTTTTAAATGTATAATATTTAATTTTCAAATAATTTAAATAATAATAAATCCAACAAATAATAACTTGAATGAAAAAATCTTGACTCCACAGCTGAGAGTTCTTTCAGGTGGTTTCCTGGCAAAATTTACTGAAAACTAATTTTATGGTTCTTTCTTTCCCCATAAAGAAAGAAGTGGATTCCTAATTAAAAAAAAAAAAAAAAAAAAACAACAAACAAACAAACCCAGCCCTCAGTCTCCTAAAGGTACAATTTTTACAGTTTCCTTGTTGAGAAGGCTACCATTTAGTATTACACTGAATAGCATAACACAAGTGTCTTATGGTCTCAGTCCCTTACAGCCCTGGATCTAAAGTTTAGGAACTGGATATTTAAAATCTTTTTTCTTCCTATAGCAAGTCAGCGTTGCAGGATTTAAAATCTAAAACAAGTGTTTTGTGACCAAATATCTGCTGTCACATTGCTTCCATATGTTGCTTCTCTTTTGTGCATCTCAACAGAAATAGAAAATGACGTATTTTTTAATGTGTTGTATTTAATGTCAGTGAAGGATACAATTCAAGGGTACTTTTTACTCTATCTTTCCTTGTCACCTGATTACTGTGCAGGTAGTATTTGTCATTGTGGCGTACCTCCAAAGTTTGCATAAGAATTAAATCCAGATTAAAGCTGGGATTGGCTTTAATCTTTACTTTGTGTGGAAAATGTTTTACTGACACTTTCATTTCTCTTGTTTTGAAACCATCATGAGAGATGTTTTTTTAAAAACAGAAATCAGCTCCCTTACTGTGCTTGTCTGGAAGGTTTCATTATTTAACAATACTTTCTTTTCTGTTTTTAGGAACAGTCCATATAGAAATCAGTCTGAAAATCTGGAGAGAGAATTTGGGGAATGGTTGTGTTCTTTCAACAATTACTGACTTGACTAATATACAGTAAGTGTGATAAAAGCATGTACTATACCCATCTGAAAGAAGTGAAACCATAATGCTTATAGTTTTGGCCTTTTCATGTTATTCAGTGACTACTTTCTTTTTGTATCAAGGTCACCTTTATTTCATCTCCAGATGTGTTACTAATTTCGCCTTTCTTCTGCAGAGGAATCCTAATAGGAAATGTTGCTAATAATGCTTTCAGGAGGGAGTCTTAATCTGCCAAGAAGCGTTGTTGATTCAGGAAGCAAGATACAACTTGGTGTAATGTATCAAAGCTAACTTAAACTGAAGGTAGTAATGTTTAGAGCAGAGTTAGAGAAAGATGATGTGTTTTCATCCTCCAGTGGGATGAGATAAAATAGCTGAAAAAGTAATTTAAAAAATGATATCTACATCCTTTGAGAACTCGAGAGTATGTTTTTTTAAAAAGGATACTTCAGTGTTTTGTTAACAGACTTGTTTTTGAGTTCTTAACTGCAGTAATGGTGCTCTCAGTGTTTTTTGTTATTGAATGTAAGAAACTAGAGATGCTTTACTTCAGCATTATAGTTCCAAACTCAAATATTAACATGATAAACTTTATCATAAATCAGTGCCTGAAGTTTTTGAAGTCACTGGTAATACATTTCATGTAATCTTCATTCTGTGATGCTTATACTTTTGATTGAATTTGTGGCAACTGTATGTACACAATCATAATTCTTTTGTTTCATTTGTCACACTTTTCTGACACTGCATATGTATTCCAATTTGCACCATATTTTCAAGTCTGTAAAAGCTGACACGTTCTCCAGCAGTGCTTGTTTTAAAGGATGTCTAAAAATGTAAGAGGGATTTAGATTTTGCAGTACATTCTGAAGGACAGGAAATGTTTTCGGAAAGACTTCCAGATCTTGTAGGCAGTCTGTTTCTTTTCTAATTATGTTTCTTGCTCTGAGAGATCTGAGCTTTCTTTATTCAGAAACACATTTGAGGAAATCAGATTACAATACTCTTGTGTTATCGTGCTCCTTTTCCTTCATGAAGTAGCTGGGATTAGAGACTTGTTTACATTTCCTTTCGTAATATCAGGATGGTGTTCAAAAACGTTACGCGTTCCTTATCTGAAGACTATAAAATAGCGTGGGTGAAATTTGCTGCATTCAACCTTTTCATCGTTTTAAATTTGTAAATTTGTAATTAAATTTAACAATACTTTTGTGTTAGAATTCTGGCTTGGGGAAATTTATTCTTTATTGTTAAATTCTCATACTGTTCAGTCTATGGTTTGAAATCTCTCCTGCAATAGCTAGCCGTTCGTGGAACTCTAATTGCAAAGCTGGAGGCTTTGCTTAGTGGTAGATTGTCGAGGTAGAAAAACATCTTTTTAATGGAGATAAAGGAAACTGCGTGCACCTTTTTGTCACTGAATAATCATCCTAAAAGATCTAAATGTATTCAGATTGTATTCAGACAGTGAAGATTGAAACTGAAGATAGCCATTTGCATTCTTCTTGCTATGGATTGTAATTACTCTCACTTCTCTGTAATTGATCTCTTTTTCCTCCCTTACTTTAAAGGCAGAATAAAATTTCTATCAGAACATTTTCATGAGCATCGACTCCAAATTTAAGCACTTAATGTTGTTTAGTAGTGGCCATTAAAAACAAAACAAAACCTTTTTTGATCAAATGCAATAGAAACGTCAAACAGTGGAACCTTTCATTGGCGTTGGATGTTTTAACACTAAAATGTAGTAATGAAATAATTTCTGTGCAGATTTATGCTTGGAATTCGAAGGAAGAACTTTCAGTGCTGGTGAGCAGGAGATCACAAGGGCTGGTGTACAGTAGGAGTGTTTTAACAGTGCTGTCCAGCTTTGAGCAGAGTCCTGCAAGTGCAGGCGCAGTTGGTGTCTAAAGAACTTGGAGACTTTTACTGTCTCTTTATTCTTGTTACTGCATCACCTCTTACACTTACAGTTAAGCAAAAGTGTGTAGTCTGAATATATTAAACTAATAAGTACATCCAAATCTTCTAGAACTCTCTGGGTAGTTGCATATAGGCCTCATGGCCTTCACCAAAACAGGCGTGCCATTTAAAGCTTGTGTTTATTTCCTGTGGTCAGTTCTGTTTCTTTTAAAATCAGAAACCTCTGTGAAGCCTCTGAACATGGTTAGCAACTATATGGCTAAAGCAAAAACCACACCGTTAAAATATCCACCTGCACGGAGATGACAAAAATACAATTTTTCTTGGTCGCTTGTTTTGCTGTGCAAGTCATCTCTTGGCTTGGTTCTAAAAATGCAGACAGAGGTTATACAGACAGCATGTAGGAGCTCATAGTGATGGGTAAGTCTTGAATGTCTGAAAAAAAATCCAGCACGGATGACAGCAAATGAAGGGAGAGGAAGATAGGGGCTGACAGCTGGTTCGCAGACAAGTGCATCACCCTGGTATTGCTTGTGCCTGCAGTAAGGACACACGGTTACAAGACAGAATTCCCAGGAGGTTTTAAGGGTTCAATTGCTTTGTCTTCAAATATAAAACCAGACAGAAACAACAGCTCATAACTTTGGCCTATCTTCTAAGAGTACTTGAATGACATCACAATGTACGTATCTGAAGCCTGATGCTGAGAATCTATTTGGCAAAGTTTGGATCCTTGTCATGCACTACAGAGATGGACTTCTGTGTTCTAATATTCAAAGGTAGTCGCATTTAATCAGTAATTTAAAATTTCACTTACTTAATAAGTTATCCAAGCTGTTTTAAATGGGAATATAATAACTAAAGTAGCTGTTCTCGTTCTTTATATTATACTTTGTGAAATGTATACACTATAAAATTTCAGTTATGCAGTGTTGATGTATCAGTCGACTTTAAACTGAGACACTCTTATCAGTATAGTTGGTTTTTTTTAATGTGTGGAAAGTATCAAGGTAGTTCTGGCTGCTTTGTTGATCTTCTGTTGTGTGCTGGAAATTGCTTGTTGCCTGCATGTAAAGGCAGTGAACTAATGCTGTTTTTAGTGGTTTTCTGTGTTGCTTGTTACAGAGATAACATTTTAGCAAATGCGGGTATCACTGAATACAGTTGTAAGAAGCTGTCTCAAATCAAATTCTTGACTCCTAGTTTTGTTTTGATTTTTGCTGTTTTGTTTTTAGTTTTGTGTTTTGCTTAATTGGCATTTAATACCATTTAACATTTCTGATCCTGGGCCAGGGCGTGGGGAGCAGGGCAGCCAGCAGCACCTGCACACCTGTGAAAGCACATTTTCTCTGCCTTCCTCCACTTCAAGAGCTGAGTGTCTCTTCTCCTCTTCCTCCTCTTCCCCATGCTCCCATGGTGGGTGGCTGACACCAGTACTGGGCCTGCCTTGCAGCTGACTCCAAATTACCTGCTTTCTCCAGTGTGCAGGCACACCGGCAGCCCCATCCACATCCTGCTTGTTAGGCCAAAGCAGATGTGTAAGGAATCTCTCCTTCCTCTTTCTTAAAGTTATGAATGGCTAGGACAAGCTAGTAGCTTGTATGCTGTCTCAGTCACAGAGGAGAAGGCATAATGTAGATCATGTCATGTAGATCATTTCCTTGTCTCGGTGCTCAGGATACTGAGGCTACCACCAAATGGGTTGCTGTCACCTTTCAAAAACTAATTTGTTGTGCTGCTCTGACTAAATTGCATAGGAGGCAGTGATTCAGTTTCCTTTCACACACTCTTCTCTTGCATTTGTTGCTGAAGTTGAGTTTTTGGGGAGAACTAATGGATTTTCTTTGATCTCTGTGAAAGAGCATGCTATTCTCCCTTGTAGATTGGAAAATAACAAGACAAAGCTGTTGATTTGAGTCTCTGGCCTCAAAAGACTGAGGCCTAACTTGTATTATTAGCAGGCAGTCATATCTTCTGATCACAATTGGGAGTGTTTACAGTGCTGAATAGTAGTGAATGAACTTGGTTTGATGCCCCTGCATCCTGGGGCTAAAATTCCTAGATGTCACTTGAATGCACAAACCAAAGAAAACATTTTTTCCTCTGGTCCAATCCATGTGTGGACTTCCAGCTATGGTGTTTCAGTTGTGATTCTAACAGGTTTTGGTTTATAATTTTACAGTATTTCTAAAGATTGTGTTTTTCTGACCCTGTAAAGCCATCCAGAAATTACAACCTCAGAGAAATCAGGAGCTCTCCTACGACAGATTGTTTGGACAGGATAAAAAAAAAGAAGGAATATCTAAATTGCTTTATTTAATCCAGGAATACAAGATATACTTTTTTGTAATGAATGTTTGCGGTAGCTGGGCTTAGCAGCAGAGCACAGTGGTTTGTAGTTTAAGTACAGGATGTTTGTTTCTGTACAATGAAGTTCTGTTTTCTTGCTATTCAGGATGGAACAACCTGAGACTTCAGTGAGTAATACAGGAAAATATCGTAGCTGAAAGTGTTTGCTAGTAGTTGGTGTAAGCTGAATTCTATTCGTACCCTTATTTGTATTTCACTCCCTAGTCACAGAATGTGGAATCCTGCTGAGTCAAATCCAGAGTGACAACTTCTGTTCCTGCAAACGGGAACTTAAAGGGGGATGTGAACAGGTGCATTTCTTCTAGATGCTGTTAAACTGCCTTTGAGTTTGGTTCTGAAGAGTCCTTAAAGAAAACACAAGGGTAGTATTAATGGCTGAGGAGACTATTTGGTTTCCTAAAAATGGATTGGTTTATTTTTTCCTCACCATGAGGACTGCTAAACACCGGGATGAAGTGCACAGAGAAATCATGCAGTCTCCATCTTTGCAGGCTTTCAAGACCCAACTCTGAGTAATCTGGTCTGATCTCATAGCTCACCCTGCTAAATGATTCAGTCGTTCTATAACTGAATTTTTCTTGGTTGTGGACTAGTTTGTCATGCAGAGCTTCAGGATTAGAGATTGCCTTGCTATAAAGCAGCCTGTTGTACATGAGAGAATAGTTGGCAGGATGATTGCTATGTTGTGTGGGCACTGAGAACTTTTGCTGGCTCATTCT